CCCGGCTCTCTTCCCCTGGCAGACCCTTCAGCGGAGCGCGTGCGTACCTGTGAGGGCGTGGCTGAGGACGACATAGTCCTCCACAGGCTCCTCTCCCCCACCCCTTTTAAATTCACGGCCAAGACCCTCCCTGCCAACCTCATCCTCTCCGTCCCCGCCCCCTCCCATCCTCACCCCCCTTCTGTGGCAGACCCCTCAGTGGAGCGCATTCGTACCTGTGAGGGCGTGGCTGAGGACGACATAGTCCTCCGCAGGCTCCTCTCCCCCACCCCTTTTAAACTCACGCCCAAGACCCTGCCCTCCAACCTCGTCCTCTCCTTCGCCCTCGGCCTTTCCGCAACCAACCTATCAGCGCTTGCCACGTCATTCAGAAAGTTCGTGCTAGGAAGCAGCAGCGGCAGTGGTGCTGGCGGTGGTGATGGGGAAGGGGATGGTGGGAGTGAGAGTGGGAGTGAGGGGCAACATAGGGGCGCTCTGCTGGTGTTTTTCGTGCAGGAGTGGCCCAAAGGATGGAAGCACCAGGGGGGGGTTGCACTACAGACGTTCTGCTCCCCAGAGGAAGGTCAGGCAGTCAGTCAGTCAGTCAGTCAGTCAGTCAGTCAGTCAGTCAGTCAGTCAGTCAGTCAGTCAGTCAGTCAGTCAGTCAGTCAGTCAGTGAGTCAGTCAGTCATTTAAGTCAGTCCGTCAGTCAGTTCTCGATGGTAATTTATCCCTGGTAATTCTATCAGCCTTTCCTTTCCTTCTCGATGCAGTCAACCGGCACTACCATGTCTTTTCTTTTACCAATGTCCCATCCTCTCTGGGCTTTACATGTATTTCTCGAACCCTGTCTGCTGCACTAGGTCTCTATACTGTGCATCCGTTTTTCTCCCTCAGGCGAATATGGCCAGCACACTCCCCCAACCTGTGCTGTCATGTGTGATATATCCTATGGTTGTGCCTATGCTTGTCTACCCCTGTGCCCATCCTAATCTCCCAGGCAAATGGTCATCGACACATGCCTCTAACCTGCGCTATCCTGCTCATCATGTCTGTTTAAACCCCATGCCCCATGCCTCCCTACCCTTCGACTCATCCCACTGGTCATCAGCACATGCCACCAACCTGCGCTATCGGGCCTTCCACCTCTTCCTGTGCTCCCTGGACTTTGAGGGGACTGCCATTGCTGCTGACCCCCAGTATCTTTACCCCTATATCCATGCACTCATCCCACTCTCCCAGGCAAATGGTCATCAGCACATGCCACCAACCTGCGCTATCGGGCCTTCCATCTCTTCCTGCGCTCCCTGGACTTTGAGGGGACTGTCATTCTTGCTGACCCAACCGACGTCCTCCTTCTTGCCAACCCGTTCCCAACACTCAATGACATGTCCTTCCATCTATACACTGTAAGCTGTGCCGCCTTTTGATGTGGTATGCATGCTGGTACAAGGAGCCGAGGGAGTGGGGAAAGGGGAGTTGGGCGGGATTGTATGGGTCTCTTACACGTTTCTGTTGTAGCACCACTGGGGTATATTCCCCGATTTACGAGGCAGTTTGGCTCATCTTGCATGCTCACCGACCTCTCTGTCGCATCTTGTCATTTCCCAGGGCTCTGCTGTCTACCCAACGCATGGCATTCGTTTCCTTCCTCCAGAGCACAAGCGCCTTGCTGCTTGTTACGGCACCCGCCTGGCCTTCTCGCTAGCAAATTCACGGATAATCACGTCAGGCTTTGTGGCAGGCACTCTGAGTCAGGTGCAGGAGTTCTTGATCCAAGTCATTGAGGACTTTGAGAGGCTACCAGAGGATTGCATGGCGCTTGAGGAGAGCGATGAAGCTGTTGTGAATCATCTCGTTCGCTCGGGTAAGATCTGTTACAGCAGGGGTTGGAGTAAGAAACGCATGGACCATGTCATGTATTGTTTTTTTCTCTCGTATGTTATAGATTCCTCCTGCCTTATCGCTTTTCTGTTTGTTGTGATGCAGGGAGGCTGAAGGAGGGTATAGAATCGTTGAGGGTTGAGGATGCACAGCATGGGAACGTGTTGCATCGGTTTAGTGCAGAGGACTCTTTTGAATTGAAGGAAGATGGAAGGGTTGTGAATGCCATGGGCAGGACAGTAGTTGCAATCCATGGGTATGACAATTTCATTGACTCGCAGTTGCTTGTAAAGGATGTGACCGAGATAGCAAGGCTACAACAGTGAGAAAATTTCTGGATTCGCAGAAGTACCATACACGATTCAAGCCACGAATGAAACTTGTGGATGACAGAATAAATATTTAAGGATTCAGTGTGCACATAGGCACTCTTCTGGATTCGCGAAGAAGTTGCTTGATGGAGACCTTCCATGGTAAATTAGGCATTCCTCATGAGCGGCCCTAACCAGGTTGAGCAAGTTACACTCTCTGGACATGTGGTGGTGACATGAATACACGGCTGACAGCTTCTTCAAATGTGGTTGGATGCTCCTTCGACCATAGAAAAGCCTGTGTTTGGCACATGTCAGGCAGGAGGTCCCAGAAGCCAAGGAGTCAGGACTACTAACTCGACATACTCATCATCACCTGTGGCCGATAACAAAATTGGGAAAGTTCCCAGTTGCAGTTGGAAAAAACACACTGCTTTCTGTGCATGCTATGTAATCAATAGCAGCAAGTGCTGACGCCCTTTTTGCCAGTGGACCAAGTTCTTCCTGCATAGACATTAATGAGAGGAGCAATTATCGCAGAAAGAGAGCCTAATAAATGGTAAAAGAAGGCACTGCCAAAAAAGCCCCATGCTCATACCTTCGTTAGAACGTCTCGTTTAGTCAGAGCACTTGGAAACATGGTACGCAAGGATTGGAGGCTGTGATTACCACCAAAAAGCTGCTCCTCTAGTGTAGAGACGTATATGACTGCATTTCTGCGAATTCCCATTGCCCGCATGAAGATGCCAGTCTCAATGGCACTCATTGGGCACTGACCAAGTACGCGCTGACTAGCAGGATTTAGTAATTCACGGAGCTTCCTTGTTGCTCGATCCCAGTGTCTGACACGGTATTCCTGGCCAGGAATCGGATGAGTATATTCTTCAAGGAAAAAAACCGACAGATTGAGTAGGTGCAATGGTTCCGTACCTCTAAAGCCAGCTTCTCCTTCTCACCACCTCCGAATTCACACATTGAATAGGCAACAGCATCGGTCTCGAACCTCCAGTGCAGTGACACGAAGTTGGATGACATCTTCTTCATCCTCCGTACGACCTTTCTTCCCAGCACAAGAATGGAATCCACAAACTTGAGACTCTGTTTCAAGAAGCATGTTACCACCAGGTTTCCAGAACCATGTCAAGTCAGTACAAGCCCAAGCCTCATACCTCATAGTTGACCTTGCATCGAAGAAGTTGCCATGGTGCCGGAAGAGCATTTGCAAGTCGCCTTGCAAAGGGACTAAGAAGGGCAATGCTGTTGTTCTGAACTGTAGGCTTCACATTCTCCACGTACCTGTGTGTGGTTATCAGAGTTAACACAGACCGCTGGATGTATGGCCTAAAATAAGAGGAAATCGTACCAATCCAACGTTGCCAGGGCATCTTCAGGAGGCCTAAATTCGTGAATTGGAAGATGCTTTCCTTCTTCAGGAATGGATGCGACCACTTTGACAAAGCCTTTCAACACCGCCTTGAAATGGGTCACATTGAAGAGGTCTTGAAACGAGCTGTTTTTTCAACAGTCAGTAGCATGTGGACAGTCGAGACATCACTTTGGAAAACTTCGCATAAAATATACCTGCTATCTCCCCAGACAGGGTGGGCTTTAAGAAACGGAACAACAAGCGTCAGGTTCAAAAACCGTGCGAGGATAACGGCATTGACAATTGCTCCTCGTTGTTGGTTGAGGCCGCCATTGCAAACGGTGACAAGGTATGAACCAGTCGGCTTGTAGGGAGCTGAAATGACACGTTAGAGCAATTGTTGCAATAGACAGGATGGAAAAGAACGATCACTCACGTAGTCTATGAAGGAGGCGACGGAAACGTTCCCCACATTTCCTGACGTTCACTTCAGCCGGGAGACGATATAGTAAGCGCTCCTGCAGAAGGGATGAGGTGAAATGTTCAGGTAAGAGAAATTCGCCGGAACAAGGGGTGCTTACCCTCAGCTCAGCTGATCGTTGCGCGTTAGCTATGTATTTGTTCAAGTTGGGAGATTTCATGATATCCTCGTCGTACGCCTGCAAGCATTCGCTATGTTACTTCATGTTAGAAACAACGCAATTGGCACGAGAAGAAATAATTCCAACCGCAGTCATGCAGCCTCCATGAAGCAAGATGACCACGGCGGCCAGAACGATATATCCAATGCCCAACATGGGAGAATCGGTGAGGCTAGCTGAAAGCCAGTGGAAATTCGTTTCTATGCATGAAAATATGGGTAGTTCTGGACAGAAGAGACAGATCGGAGGGATGAGTCCAATAAGCACAAGGGAGGACTAATCCTCATTTGAAATGGCATCGTTAAAAGTTATTGGATTGCATCAACAATGCGGTTGCGAAACATGCACATATGTATCGCTGAGTGCTAGTCCTGACGTGTTCCTAAAATCACGTAATCTATACGGTTGGGTAGACCCTACCGGCGCAAAACGACAATACTATCGTCAGATTTCGGGCTGGCAAGAAACAAAGAATAAACCCCTAGGGAACCCGGGTCCGTCCGTGACCCTAAACCCAAATCTTTCGGACGGCATCCGTAGCCCCTCGATTCCTTACTCCTCTGCCCGTTTGTTTCTGCCCCTTGTGTCCGTATATAAACTGTACCCCACTTTTCCCACTTTTCTTCTGCTCTGCCCTCACACTTACTTGCACTTCCCTGCTTTGCTCCTTTCGTTTATGGAACACCCGCCGAATCACCGACACGACAGCAATCACATCACGCCCACACATCATCAGGTGTTGTACAGTACGCAGTACCTGTTCCCTTTCTACAACATGGTCCAGCAGCACCCCCCCAAAACACTTATCAGCACAACAGCAAGCTTTACATAGAAATACTCCCCTTACGCCACTATCTAGTGCAGCTTACCCAAATGTGGCTGGAGAGCTAGCCAAGCCTGTTCCGTAGTCCTGGACGCGTTCGGTCTTTTACCTGAGCACTCTTCGCTCAGTTCTGTACACTGGACCGAGCATTCTTGGGTTCCGGCCAACCTGGTCAGCATAGCATTTGAACGCTTCGTTTCTACAAGCGCCGTAGGATAGTTTTTTCTCAAGCGCAATAATCACGTGCTTTATTTATATTTCGCATCCTCGTAGATACAACCTCTGATAGAACACCTTCCCCGATAGCGGGGTCAGCTCGATCTAAGGAGCGTGCGGGTGACTCAAGGCCTCCGGATGGATCTGGTGAGACTTAATACTCTCAAGAATCTCGTACCTGGTGCCATTTTGGCTGGCCTTAGTTTGCCATTTGTCAGTTTCTTTCTATATTAACGATTAGTTTTGCGACGCGCGACATTGTCTGATTGAGTCGCCATTCTTTGCTCACGCTTCGAGTTCGTTATTTTCGCGCTCTTGCCTGTTTATAGAGGCCAGGGTAGCTCTTTGTCATTCTCCAACGGTCACCATCGAACAAGCCTTTCGAAAAGAAAAACATGAGCTGCTGTTAGCGCTTCTTTAAAGCGTTCCGTTGGACCTCTTCCTAAAATCTCGTTGGTTTAATTCTTCATTCTGACTCCCGCTTCGTGTCATGGCAGGGCCGGAGACGCCATTTCACTGGAAGGGTGCTCTCCACCACGAACCCAGGTACAAAGTCTTTGGCTTTTTTTGCGTAACCCAAGTGCCGAACCCAGATTCAAAAACTGCATCGCCCCGGCCTTAGATCGTCCTTGATGGTACCTCTCATGCCTCGACTTGATTCATGATTCGAATATTGGATATTTTTTTAAACACATATCAGAACTCTCCCGTCAACCGTTGTGAAGCCATTCGGATTCATGCATCTCCTTCGGCTTTTGTGACCCCCACGTCCACCAACCCCTCTTGTTTTCACGCAGCATCCTTCCCGGATGTGTTTGAAATGGGCAAGAGGCTGGGCTCGGGGCAGTTCGGCACGACCTATGTGTGCATAGAGCGTGCCACAGGCCAGGCGTACGCGTGCAAGTGCATCCCCAAGAGCAAGCTGGTCACGGAGGGCGATGTGGAGGATGTCAGGCGGGAGGTGGCGATATTGTACCATGTGCAGGTGGGTGGTGGTCTGTGAGTGCCATGTGCAGGTGGGTAGCTTTCTGTGCGACCATGTGCCTCTCTGTACAAAAACCGCTGGTGGATGGATGTCTGCATCAAATGCAGCTACATGCTGCATTGCCTAAGGCCCGTGTTGCATGGCCAAAGGCCCAACCTGTCGTCCGTATTCGCCAGTACCACCTGGCAGACAGAAGTATGGTCCCCAGGCTGACGGCTTTCTCTTCGATGTCCCTGATTCCTGCTTCCCCTCCTTTGGTACTCAGAATCAGCCCAACATTGTGAACATCAAGGACGCGTATGAGGACAAGGAGCACGTGTACATTGTGATGGAGCTGTGCACGGGAGGCGAACTCTACGACACGATTATAAAGAGGATAGAGGCCAGAGGAGTGCCGTACTCGTGAGTGGCCATGGGGTCTTGGAAAGGGCCTCGCGTTAGAAAGGGTTTGTGAAGGGTTAGAAAGGGTTCCATGCGTTAGAAAGGGTTTGTGAAGGGAAGCTCATGCAGACTCGCTAGAAACTAGTGTCTCTTTTATTATCACAACGCTCCTCAACTGTTTCTGTTTGCGCTTTGTACCATCTTCCCTCATGAAATCCACCACAGAGAAGGATGCAGAAGTGATAAGATGGCGAAGGTGATAGCGCGAGTGGTGGAGTGCTGCCACTCCCTGGGCAGGCATGTTACACCTTTTTGTCACCTCTTCAACCCCCTGTTTCCCCTCTCCCTTTCCCTCCATGCTGCCCATGAGAAGGAGAAGGACGCAGCAGAGATGGCGAAGGTGATCATGCGAGTGGTGGAGTGCTGCCACTTCCTGGGCATGTTACACCCTTCTCTCACCTCTTCAACCCCCTGTTCCCCCTCTTCCTTCCCCCCCATGCTGCCCATGACAGGGAAAAGGACGCAGCAGAGATGGCCAAGGTGATCGTGCGAGTGGTGGAGCGCTGCCACTCCCTGGGCGTGGTGCATCGTGACCTCAAGCCCGAGAACTTCCTCCTCTCCAACAATGACGAGGCCACGGCTGAGCTCAAGGCCACGGATTTCGGCCTCTCCTGCTTCTACAAGGGTGGGTGGGTGGGTGCTTGCTTACCCATGTCAAGCATTGAATGACCGATTTGCAGCACTGTGGCATCCCAATGCACATACATAGACATGGGCATGAGCCGAGCCTGGCTCGGCTCGCCTCGAGCCAGGTCCTCAGGATCCCCGGCTCGGCTCATCAGTGGGGCTTGTGCGGGCTCTCAATTGGGGCCACGGGGTTTGGGGTCTCAAGTCCGGGGCCTGGTCCAGATTGTTGAGCTGATTGTCTGCTTCTACATCTTACAAAACTCTCAGGAGGTGCTGTTGGTGTAAATAGGGCTGGTTGAGGGCGATGGACTAGGGCAACAGGGTGAGGTTAGGTTTGGCAGACGAAATGGGCGCGGGAGGTTTGTCAATCTGAGATTTGACAATTGTGAAACCCCCCCTTTCCCGAGCCGCGAGCCGGCTGGCTCGAAATCGAGCCAGCTCGAGCTGGCTCGACTCCGGCTCGCCTGATTTCACGTGAGCGAGCCGAGCCGAGCCGCTGGCTCGAGTCGAGCCGAGCCGGCTCGGCTCGAGTTGAGCCGGGTACCAAAAAAGAAGGCTAGGCTCGCCTTAAAGGCGAGCCGAGCCGAGCCGAGCCAGGTGTGGCTCGGCTTGTGCCCATGTCTACACATACATGGCACCTCATGCAACTGGTGAGCTGGTTTTTTAGAATTCTAATCCATTGACTCAAGCATTGACTGACCGAATTGCAGCACTATGGCGGCCCAATGCACATGCATGGGACCTTTTGCAACAGGTGGCTCCCATGGTGATACTACTTAGACTCAACTGCCCCCTTCCCCATCCCCATTCTCAACCCCATCCCCACCCCTACCCCACCCCCTCTTACCAGGCGAGGGCATGTCGCAGCACTGTGGCAGCCCCATGTACATGGTGCCTGAGGTGATCTGGTGGCGGCCAGTGCCATCACAATGAATCAACAGTCACATAGCCCCTGCTCCCTATCCCCGTCACCTCTTACCAGGCGGGGGCATGTCACGGCACTGTGGCAGCCCCATGTACATGGCGCCTGAGGTGATCTGGTGGCGGCCAGGGCCATCACAATAAGTCAACAGTCACATACTACCTTCTCCCCATCCCCATCCCCATCCGTACCCCCTCTTATCAGGCGAGGGCATGTCGCGGCACTGTGGCAGCCCCATGTACATGGCGCCTGAGGTGATCAAGTGGCGGCCAGGGGCGTTCATCATGGCCAAGCGCCCGCCAAAGTACGGCCCGGAGGTGGACATCTGGAGTGCGGGCGTGCTCATCTACGCGCTGCTCTGCGGCTTCCCGCCCTTCTACCACCGTACGTTCGTGTTCCTTGGTTGAGATCACTCTGTAGTGTTTCACATGGAGGCATTTGAAAGCGCCTAAGGTCATCAGGTGGTGGCCATGGGCGTTAGTCATGGTATTTCCACTTCCCCTCCCCCTTCGTTCTTTCTCTTCTTTTTTTTCACGGTCTTTCTATTTCTTTCCCTCTGCACCTCTTATCACTTGTGACCAACTTCCCCCACCATCTCTCCCTCGTTCCCCAATCCCTTTTGTCCCCCCCGGTCTGCTGGCTCTCCTCCTATTCACAGGGAGCCACTCCACCAAGGAGATCTTCAAGGTGGTGCTGCAGGGCAACCCCACCTTCCACTTACCTGTGACCAACTTCCTCCACCTCCTCCGTCTCCTCCCTCCCTCTCCCCCTCGTTCTTCTATCACCAGAAAGCCACTCCACCAAGGAGATCTTCAAGGCTATGCTGCGGGGCAACCCCACCTTGCTCCTACTTGTGCGACCAACCTCCCCCACCTACTTGCCCCACCTCCTCCCTCCCCCCCTCCCTCTCTCCCTCTATCCCCCCAGGTAGCCACTCCACCAAGGAGATTTTCAAGGCGGTGCTGCGGGGCAACCCCACCTTCGCCATTCCCCCCTGGCCGTCCATCTCCGACCATGCCAAGGAGCTCGTCAAGTGGATGCTCAACCCCGACCCCTCGAAGCGCCCCACCGCCCATCAAGTGCTCTGTGAGTGGAAGAAATGTATTGCCTTCGGTGACTGAGTGCAATGAGTGGCGGTGGTTTCGACTCAGTATCCATCCCTTCTTTCCCTGGCCGTCAATCTCCGACCATGCCAAGAAGCTCGTCAAGTGGATGCTCAAACCCGACCCCTCCAAGCGCCCCACGCTCACCAAGTGCTCTGTGAGTGGTAGAGTTTACTGTGAGAGACGTGTGCTACCAGTGACTACTGAATGACGCAAAGGCCGTCGCCAACCCTCCCTGGCCATCCATCTCCGACCATGCCAAGAGCTCGTAAAGTGAATGCTCAACCCCGACCCCTCCAAGCGTCCTACCGCCCACCAAGTGCTCTGTGAGTGGCAAATTGTACTGTGAGAGACGGGTGCTACCAGTGACTAGTGAATCGACTCCAAAGGCCTAGGCCCACCCCTGCCCTGGCCGTCCATCTCTGACCATGCCAAGGACTTGGTTAAGTGGGTGCTCAACCCTGACCCCCCAAGCGCGCCATCGTGCACCAGGTTGCTTTGTGAGTGAAATGCACTGCTCTCGGACCCACTTTGCATGAAACAAACCTAGAGTAAAACGTACAGTGTGTAAAAGTAAAATGCAGTCGGATTTGAGTGAGAACCGCTCACCTTCTTTCCCACTTTTCCTAGCTCTCTCGCCCCTCAGGACCTCAGGTCACCCGTGTGAGGTGACTCTTAGTCGATTCAAAAGTCTCCTCAGTGAAAACCGCTCACCCTCTTTCTCACTTTTCCTTGCTCTCTCGCCCCTCAGGCCACCCGTGGCTGTCAGAGGACCTGTCGTGTGTGGAGCCTCTGCCTCCAGTGGTGGTGCTGACTCGTTCGTGCTCTTCCCTCCCCTTCCCCCCCCTCCCTTCGCATGTTCAATACCCCACCTCAGGTCACCCGTGGCTGTCAGAGGGCCTGACTTACTTGGAGCCTCTGCCTCCTGTGGTGCTGACTCGGCTGAAGCAGTTCACATCCATGGTCAAGATGAAGAGGATGGCCATGAAGGTATGGTGGTGGTAACATGCTTGTCATGGTATGCTGGTTGATGCATTGAGAGGGTTGTCGACGAGTTGGTGAAGCAGTTCACATCCATGGTCAGGATGAAGCGGATGGCCACGAAGGTATGGTCAGTAGACATGAGCACGAGGCGAGGCGAGGAATCCTTGCCGAGGAATTCCTGTCCTCGCCCCCCGAATGAGGCGAGGCGAGGATTTTTCGCCGAGGATTTTTGGGAAAAACCAACCCTCGACCCTCGGATTTTGGAGACGATGGTTTTTTTTGTCGCCCCGAGGAAAAATTCCTCGACCTGAGGCGAGGATTCCTCGCCTTGAGGGGGTGTTTCTCTGAGTTGGGGCATATGTGCCCGGAACGAGCTAGCCGTTGTCGTGTTTTGAACATCACGACAAATTGCGAGCATCCCATTTTTCACCACATCGCCAGTTCGACATTGAGTATGATTTCTTCAATCCCCCCAACCACTCCACCGCATTCAACCTCACATCATCTCCCTAACCCCAACCTAACCAATTACACATTGTTATCAGGTTTGGACTCCAAACCAAAACCAAAAAAAACTCCCCCTACCGCATTCAATCTCTCATCACCTCCCTAACCCAACCTAACCAAATCGACATAATTAGGTTTGGACTCCAAACCCAAAAAACGACGAGCACTCACCAGAGAGTCGTAGAGGAGAGGGGGAGCTCCTATCTGTAACTCGTAATTCCCCCACTTAGCTCTCGCGCCACAGTTCTAACTAACCAACAACCATGTCGAAAAAATGACGCGGGAATTCTCGCGAGGAAGAAAAATCCTGGTCAATTTCGGCCGAGGAATTCCGAGCCCTCGAAACCTCGGCGAGGCGAGGCGAGGAATCCTCGGCGAGGATTGTTTTCCAAAATCAATCCTCGGATCGCAAGATTCTAAGGGGAGGAATTCCTCGCCTCGTTGCTCATGTCTAATGGTCAGGATGAAGCGGGTGGCCATGAAGGTATGGTCAGGATGAAGAGGATGGCCATGAATGTATGGTCAGGATGAGGCGGGTGGCCATTAAGGTATGGTCAGGATGAAGCGGATGGCCATGAAGGTATGGTCAGGATGAAGTGGATGGCCATGAATGTATGGTCAGGATGAGGCGGGTGGCCATTAAGGTATGGTCAGGATGAAGCGGATGGCCATGAAGGTATGGTCAGGATGAAGCGGATGGCCATGGATGTATGGTCAGGACGAAGCGGATGGCCATGAATGTATGGTCAGGACGAAGCGGATGGCCATGAAGGTATGGTCAGGACAAAGCGGATGGCCATGAAGGTATGGTCAAGATGAAACGCATGGCCATGAAGGTATGGTCAAGATGAAACTCATGGCCATGAAGGTATGGTCAAGATGAAACGCATGGCCATGAAGGTATGGTCAAGATGAAACGCATGGCCATGAAGGTATATCGTTAGAATGGTTATGCAGGCACGTATGGCAGTATGCGTTCTGAAAGGAGGTTTATTTCCATGGGCAAGGTGGGTGAGAAGATTGGCATGTGAGATGAAGTGCATGACTTGTAATTAAATTGTTTAATTTTGTCTTGCATATCCCTGCTCTCCTTTCCCTGCTTGTTTCTTTGCCCGTGGGGGTCATTGCAGAATCCCTCAGAGAGGACGAGATCCCTTAGATCTGCGGGATGAGGGAGATGTTTCAGTTCAGTTAATTCAGGCTGCAGCGCAGCAGCGGCACCACCATTACAGTGAGCTGCGCACACTCATCTCTCACTGCTTCCTGCTGGTGTCTTGCACAGCAGGTGACTGCAGAATCCTGATGGAGGAGCAGATTCGCGGCTGCAGGAGGGAGGATGTTTCAAAGCCATGCGATCGTCTGTGTGTGCACCCACCTCGTTCCTCTCGTTCCCCTGCAACCTGCTGCAGGTTATTGCAGAGCCTCCAGGGGAGAAGGAGATCCGTGGGCTGAGGGAGATGCTCCAGGCCATGGACAGGGACCGCAGCAACACCATCACAGTGGAGAAGCCCCTCTCATGCCTCACCTCTCCCTACTGGTTTCTTGGAGCTTGCAGGTGATTGCAGAATTGTTGAGGAAAGAAGTTATCCGTTGGCTGATGGAGATGTTTCACGCCATGGACACGGACCGCAGCGGCACCGTCACACTGGAGGATCCAACCCAAAGTCGCTCCTTTGCCCTCCTTGGCCCTGCAGGTGATAGCCGAATCCCTCAGGGAGGAGGAGATCCGCGGGCTGAGGGAGATGTTCCAGGCGATGGACACGGACCGCAGCGGCACCATCACAGTGGAGGAGCTGCGCACGGGACTGAGGAAATTCGGGGCACAGCTCAGTGACACGGAGATTAACAAGCTTATGGAAGAGGTGGGTGCGTTGTCTGACATGTGCAGTGTACTGTTGTTGTTGTTGTTGTTGTTGTTGTTGTTGTTGTTGTTGTTGTTGTTGTTGTTGTTGTTGTTGTTGTTGTTGTTGTTGTTGTTGTTGTTGTTGTTGTTGTTGTTGTTGTTGTTGTTGTTGTTGTTGTTGTTGTTGTTGTTGTTGTTGTTGTTGTTGTTGTTGTTGTTGTTGTTGTTGTTGTTGTTGTTGTTGTTGTTGTTGTTGTTGTTGTTGTTGTTGTTGTTGTTGTTGTTGTTGTTGTTGTTGTTGTTGTTGTTGTTGTTGTTGTTGTTGTTGTTGTTGTTGTTGTTGTTGTTGTTGTTGTTGTTGTTGTTGTTGTTGTTGTTGTTGTTGTTGTTGTTGTTGTTGTTGTTGTTGTTGTTGTTGTTGTTGTTGTTGTTGTTGTTGTTGTTGTTGTTGTTGTTGTTGTTGTTGTTGTTGTTGTTGTTGTTGTTGTTGTTGTTGTTGTTGTTGTTGTTGAGGCGCCTCAAATCAAAGGCACCATCACAGTGGAGGAGCTGCGCACGGGGTTGGAGATTTGGGGGTACAGCTGAACGACACTGCGATTAACAGGTGTGTGCAAAATGCTGTAATGTGAGGCGCCTGAAAGGCACCATCACAGTGGAGGAGCTGCGCACCACACTTAGAAGGCTTGGCGCGCGGATGAACGGCACCGAAATCGTGAGGCTCATGGGCGAGGCAGGTGTGTAATACCTTGCGCTCTTTTTTACTGTTTCTATTTCTGCGTCTGCTTGTTCTTCTGTTTCTGTTTCTACCTATGCGATTATTATCACACCTTGTTTCTGTTTCTGTTTCTGTTTCTGTTTCTGTTTCTACCCTCGATACAACACCTGCATGTCCTCATGCGTGAGCACACGCAAGCAAGCACACACTTTTCCCTCCCTACCAATTCCCCTCGCACTCCCTTTCCCACAGAGTGACATGGATCAGAGTGGGGAGATAGAGTACGGCGAGTTCCTAGCTGCCACGTTGCATCTGAGCAAGATCGACCAGCAGGAGAACCTGCTGCACGCGTTTGAGTTCCCCTCTCTCCCTCCCTCTCCTCCCCCCCAACAAACGGACATAGACCAGAGTGGGTGGGGAGATAGAGTACGGTGAGTTTATATCCGCCACGATGCATCTGAGCAAGATCGACCAGCAGGGGAACCTGCTGCGTGCGTTTGAGTTCCCCTCTCTCCCTCCCTCCCTCCCTCCCTCCCCCCAACCCCCCCCCCCCCACCCTACAGACGGACATAGGCCAGAGTACGGCGAGTTCCTAGCCACCACGATGCATCTGAGCAAAGTCCAACCAGCAGGAGAACCTGCTACGGGCGTTTGAGCTCCCTTTTTTTCCCTCCCGCTCTCCCTTCCCCTCGCACATCCTCTCCCCGCCACCCCACAGACGGACATAGACCAGAGTGGGGAGATAGAGTACGGCGAGTTCCTAGCCGCCACCATGCATCTGAGCAAGATTGACCAGCAGGAGAACCTGCTGCGCGCGTTTGAGTTCTTTGACCGCGACGGCAGCGGCAGCATCACCCTGGACGAGATGCTCAAGGCGTGCGAGGAGCTGAAGATGAGCCGCGAGGAGGTGGAGAGCATGATGCGAGAGGTGGATGAGAACCAGGTACGTATACGTAACTGCATGGGGCTGGCGTGAGAGTTGTTTTTGAGAATTCTCAAAAACACCCTGCGAGAGGTGGATGAGAACTAGGTATGTATACGTAACTGCATGGGCCTGGCGTGAGAGTTGTTTTTGAGAATTCTAAAAAACACCCTGCGAGAGGTGGATGAGAATCAGGTATGTATGCATAACTGCATGGGGCTGGCGTGAGAGTTGGAGTAGGAGCAGGAGGCAGCCGCAGTATCACCCTGGACAAGCCGCAGAAGGTGTGCGAGGAGCTGAAGATGAGCCGTGAGGAGGTGGAGAGCATGATGCGAGAGGTGGATAAGAACCAGGAACGTGTGTGTATGTGCATGTAACTACATGGGGTTGGGAGTAGGAGGCAGCAATGGTAGCATCACCCTGGACGAGATGCTGGAGGCGTGCGAGGAGCTGAAGATAAGCCGGGAGGAGGCGGAAAGCACGATGAGAGAGGTGGATGAGAATAAGTGAGGCGGTGTTGTGGGTTCAGGGGGTATGTATTATGTACATGCGTATGAAAGCATCAGAGGGATTCTTATGGCACTTGGATGTGTGACGAGCACGCCTTGAGCATCATGATGCATGCATGCTTGTCTCGGCGACCTTTCTTTTCCATTCGTCTCATTTTCCTACCAACTTCCTCTTTTCTCCGTACCGCTTTCCACTATGCTTGACACGACGTCACAATATACTGCAACGAGTCCGTTGCAATGATGTGCAAGACCCAAAGGCACAGGTTGAGTCTTAAAGACACTCCTTTTGATCCTCCTCGCTACGTTCTCTTTTGCCTACCATTGCCTACGTTGCAGGCCGGCACAATCGACTGCAATGAATTCGTGGCGGTGATGCACAGGGTATTTTTGAGAATTCTCAGAAATACCCTGCAGACACAAGCACACGGGTTGAGTCGCAGAGCCATTTCCCAGTTGCTGTACTAGTTCTGTCCTTCACATCTCTTCCTACCCCCCTCCCCCCCCCCATGGCTTTTTCAGGACGGAACGATAGACTACAATGACTTTGTGGCAATGATGTGCCAGACACAGATGCATGGGTTGAGTCGCAGAGACATTATTAACACCAGCCTACTTATTCGTCGTACTACATCCCCTCCCTTCCACCCTCCTGCTCTCCCCTCACCCTTCCACCCATGCAGGATAGGACGATAGACTACAACGAATTCGTGGCGATGATGCGCAAGACATAGACGCACGGGTTGAGTCGCCGAGACATTCTCAGCTGCTGTACTAATCCCTGTCTTTCACATCCCCCCCACCCTCCTTCGCAGGACGGCACAATCGACTACAACGAATTCGTGGCGATGATGCGCAAGACACAGACGCACGGGTTGAGTCGCAGAGACATTCTGGACGGGCATGCTGGTCTGACGGAGATGGAAATAGGCAGCCAGTCCTTCCGAGACCTCATGTTGACCGACATGTGAGGCATGCAGAGAGCCATGCTGGACATGTGATGCGCCCCTAGAGACGGACATGTGGGGTGATTATGAAGTTCTAGTCTGAGGATCTACCATGAAATGGCTCAAGTATTATTGCATTGGATGCATGGTGTTTGAGGCGCATCAACTCATGGGTAGTTTGGTGTAGGTAGGTCTGGCCGGGGTAAACATCTCAAGGCAGGAGGTTGATGAATGTGTTACTAATAAAGTAGTGTACTAGAGAGTGCAAGGATACTTGGCCAGTGTAGCAGATTTCTCTAATGCGAGTACATTTGGTGAGATTCTATACCAATGATTATGGTGGTTGGCTTTGCTAGGTCAGTGCGTTTAAAACTACTGCAGAACAGCACATCGGTTCTTTCCCCATCCACTGTCTGCAGCACCCTGAAGGTGCACAAAACCCAGAAATCAGAGCCCAGTCACGAAAACCATGGCTCCGAAATTTAGGAACGAAGCAACCCAACTCAACTCAGTTAATCTCGAAGTCCTCTCAAAAACACTGCAGCAGCTTACTATGGCAAGCTCAAAACAGCATCTACCGATCCAGCAACCGAACCTCCGCCATGCCTTCCCGTCTGGTTGGGGAGTACCAGACAACGAGCCTGGCAGCCCCGAGCCTCTCCAGGGAGCAGTCGAGGGCATAGGTGGAGTCGAGCAAGCGAGGCACGGCTAACGGGTTTTTGGAATCCACTCCCATGCATGCGTCCCAGCGCCCCCTCACTGGGCCAAGGATCTGTTGGCTCAGAAGAGACAAGGGGAGAGAGAGGGTAAAGGAGAGACACGGGGAAAGGGGATTTTGAGCAATCGAGGGCATAGGTGAAGTCGAGCAAGCGAGGCACAGCTAAGGGGATCTTGGAATCGACTCCCATGCGAGCATCCCAATGGCCCCTCACTGGCCCAAGGATCTGGAAAGGAGAGGAGAGAGAGAGATGGGGGAGAGGAGAGGATAGAGAGAGGGGGGAGAGGAGAGAGCGAGGGGGGAAGAGGAGAGAGAGAGATGGGGGAGCGGAAAGAGAGAGAGGGGGGAGAGGAGAGAGACAGGGTGGAGAGGAAAGAGAGAGAGGGGGGAGAGGTGAGAGAGAGAGGGGGGAGAGGTGAGAGAGAGAGAGGGGGGAGAAGTGAGAGAGAGAGGGGGGAGAGGTGAGAGAGAGAGGGGGGAGAGGTGAGAGAGAGAGGGGGGAGAGGTGACAAACAGGAATGAGGCACGAACAGGAATGAGGCACGAACAGGAATGAGGCATGAACAGGAATGAGGCATGAACAGGAATGAGGCATGAACAGGAATCAAAAGATAGAAGTCAAAATGCACACGCGTTCAGCACCGCACGGGTTCGGGTTATACCTGTTGTTGAAACGAGAGCGAGAGTGTGGGTGCACCCCGCTCCTCTCTTTGCTGGCCTGCTGACGTGTCACCTGACGCCACTGCTGACGTGGCACCGGTTGCTGGTGCTGACGTGGCAGATGCGGGTTGGGAGAGATTGTAGCAGGCGGAGGAGAGCGAACCGCAGGTGAGGGTGGCATTGAAGAGGGTGTGATCAAAGAGAGGGCGCTCGAACATGCCGAGCTGGGCTGTCACCGCCACCGATGCGAAAAGATCGGTGGAGGGAGAGGAGAGCTGAACAGAGGAGAGGCGGATAGGCCCTGCTGCAGCCTCTCCGTTCATGCCTGAGATGGGTGCTTGACTGGCGTCTTGGGCCGTGGCCGTGCTGCTGGTGGTTGTAATCTCGGTGGAGGCCAGCCCGCCTGCATGGGACGTGAGGGGGTGGGTGAGGAGTGGATGAATGGAGGGATGTAAGGCGTTGAAGAGGGTGCGAGTCGACTCAAGAGCGTTGAAGAGGGTGCGGTCGAAGAGAGGGCGCTCCAAGCGAGGGTGCACTCAGCGGCGCCGTCAACGCCACCGAGGCAAAGAGGTCGGTGGATGGAGAGGAGAGCTGAACAAAGGAGAGGCGGATCAGCGAGCCAGTTGTAAGAGGAGTGAGGAAGGGGGGAGAGGAGGAGGAATATGTAGAGGCAACTGATGGCGTAGATTCACACACTTTCAGATCGATCACACTCACCGAGCACACCAGAGAGAGTGATGTGAGGCTGGGCAGTGAGCATTGGGAGTTGAGCCATGCTGTGAAGGATGCACGGCTTGCTTGCAGCAGTCAAGGGGGACAACAGCAAACACACAGGAGAGCACCCGCACTCACCGAGCATGCGAGAGAGCGTGATGCGGGGGCGAGCAGCGAGCCAGTTGTAAGAAGGAGGAGGAGGGGAGGACGAAGAACACGAAGAGGAAGCTGATGAAGTAGATTCACACACTTTCACATTGGCCACACTCACCGAGCACACCAGAGAGAGTGATGCGAGGACGGGCGGCAAGCCAGTGGTAGGAGGCGGGAGGAGGAGGAGGTGAGGAGGAGGAGGTGAGGAGGAGGAACATGAGGAGGAGGAACATGAGTTGGAATATGCTGGTGTAATGTCACACACTTTCACATCGACCACACTCACCAAGCACGCCAGAGAGAGTGATGCGGGGGCGAGCAGCGAGCCAGTTGTAGGAAGAGGGAGGAGGAGGAGAAGGGGCGGACGAGGAGCATGAAGAGAACAGTGAAGACGAAGTGGAGGAGGAGGAGGATCGGGGGGATGGGGAGGATAAGGACGATGGATTCGATGCCAATGCTGATGCTGATGCTGATGCTGATGCTGATGCTGCAGGTGATGACGAGGAAGAGGAGGAGGCGGAAGAGGAGGAAGAGGAGGGAGAGGAGGGAGAGGAGGGAGAGGAGGGAGAGGAGGGAGAGGAGGGAGAGGAGGAGGAGGGAGAGGAGGAGGAGGAGGAAGAAGGGTATGAAGAGGCATGGGAAGCCTTAGCCAGCCGAGCAGCTTCTTTAGCGGCTTCTTTCTCCCGCCTCCTCCTCTCGCACCTGTCCTTCCATACAGTCACCTTCCCCTCTAGCGACATGGCTGCCTGTGCCCTCGTGCCTGCCTTCGCCCCCCAGGGAGCAAGAGGCACCGGGCCGTGCCAGGGACGATAATGCTCCTGCGTGGTTGAGATGAGATAGGAATGGGTAAAAGAGGGTGGGAGGAGGTTCAACAGCCACCTTCCCCTCCAGTGACATCCCTGCCTGTGCCCTTGTGCCTGCCTTGGCCTTCCAGGGAGCCAAAGTCGGCTGGCTGTGCCAAGGCCGTGAGTTCTCCTGCGTGGTTGAGATAGAGAGATGGGGGAAAAGAGGATGGGAGGAGGGTCAGCAGCAGTTGCCTTCCCCTCCAGAGAGAGACATGGCTGCCATCTCTGGTTGCCTGGTTGCTCTCGTGCCCGCCTTGGCCCCACAGGCAACCAGAGACGGCAGGCCTTGAATACTCCTGTGAAGGTGGATAGAGAGGAGAGAGGAAATGTGCATTAATTACCTCTGGCTTCCCCCCAACGTGCTGCAGGCCAAAGCGGTAGCACAGCCCTTCTCTTGTCTCACAAGGGAAGCCAAGTTGATGGAGATGCTAAAAAAATTGATTCGGTTTTTGAGCGTTCTCAAAGACCGATGGAGCGAGCAAAGGGCAGGGTCCAGTAGAGACCAGTGCAGCAAGGAAGGAGTAAGAAATAAGGAGGCACAAACACTTACCCCTGGCTTGCCCCCAACGTGCTGCGGGCCAAAGCGGTAGCGCAGCCATCCTCTCGGCACAAGGGAAGGAAAGTCGATGGAAAGCGCACGCGGCAGGGTCCAGTAGCGACCAGCACAGTAAGGAATAAGAGATGAAGGATGAAGAAAGCTTACCCCTGGCTTGCCCCCAACGTGCTGCAGGCCAAAGCGGTAGCGCAGACCCTCTCTTGTAACGAGAGAGGCAAAGTCGATGGAGAGCGCACGGGGCAGGGTCCAGTAGCGGCCAGCGCGGTCAACACATTGCTCCCCCCACCCTGCTCGTGCTATCAAGTCGTGGCCTTTCATCTGAGAAACAGAGATGCGTGTGCGGGGGGGGTGGGAGCAGGGAGGTGGTAAAAGAATCTGTACGGCCAGTAGGGACCAGCGCGGCCAACACATTGCTCCCCCCACCCTGCTCGTGCAATCAAGTCGTGGCCTTTCATCTGAGCAACAGAGATGTGTGGGGGGAGGGGGACCAGGGAGGTGGTAAAAGAATCTGTATGGCCAGTATGATGAATTCAACATCAAGATCAACTTTTGCCAACACATTGCTCCCCCCACCCTGCTCGTGCAATCAGGTCGTGGCATTGGGGGGAGCAGCGAGGTGGTAAAAGAGGCTTCAGCCCAGTAGAGACCAGCACAGTCAATGCACTGCTCCCCCCACCCCGCCCACGCTATCAGGTTGCGGCCTTTCATCTGAACAACAGAGATGTGTGTCGTGTGGAGGGGGGAGGGGGGGCGTGGGGGAGCAGAGAGGTGGTTAAAGAAGCTGTATGGCCAGTAGTGGTGACCAGTGCGGTCGGCGCACTCCTCCGCCCACCCAGCCCGTGCTATCAGGTGGCGGCCTTTCATCTGATCCAAAACAGACGTGTGTGGGGGGGGGGGGGGGAGGGTGGGGGTGGGTAGGGAGGGGGAAAAAATAGAAGAAAAAAGGTCCAGTAGCAACCAGCACAGTCAGACATGCTGCTCTTCCCAGCATGCTCGTGCAATGAGTATGAGTGAGCATGGCCGGTGCGACTCTTGTCAACGGCTGCTGTGGTGTGGGCAAACCTGCAACCTGTGAGATCAGAGAGACGTTACCTCGTGCGGAACGAAGAAACCTTACCTTGTGCCACAGCGAGATAAAGCCTCTGAAACCCGACGCCTCCTCTCCTCTCCCCCCTCCTCTCCACCCTCCTCGTTTCCCTCCAGCGTATCCTCCTCGTTTGCTGCAGGCCTCCTCTCTGCCGCACTCCCTCCCCCTCTCCCCACTCTCCTCCTCTCCTCACCCTCTTCCTCCCCTGCAGCGCCGCTGCGAGCCCAGCAAGAGAGCTAAGCTCCGCACTACTGCTCAGCCAGGTCTGCTTGCCCAGGGAGACTGCTTACCTGGTTCCCTAGGTCTGCCCATTCTTACCGTGTGCCGCAGCGAGATAAAGCCAATTTTTGAGGCGACTAAGAAAAAGACTCGTCCTTACCTTGTGCCGCAGCGAGATAAACCCTCTGAAACCCGACGCCTCCTCTCCGCCCTCAAGCATCTCCTCCCCTTCGGCTGCAGGCCTCCTCTCTGCCGCATTCCCTCCCTTCCTCCCCTGCAGCGCTGCTGCGAGCCCAGCGAGAGTGCTGAGCTCCGCACTACCGCTCAGCCAGGTCTGCTTGCCCAGGGTGATGCGTGTGCGGGCCGAGAGAGCGTACATGGAAGGGTCCTGGAACCATCCTGTTGCACTTCCACTGCATGCCCTGCTGCTGCTGCCTGTAGAGCCTAATGCTGCTTCTTGGGAGGCATTTCCAGCAAGGGTTTCGTTCTTCTCCTGCCTGAAGTGCTTGAAGCGCCACATGCGCTGCACTCTCATCCGCCCCATCACTGTCGCCCACCTGCGAGTGGCAAAGCAAGGCATGGCAACAAGTCCATTTTTTAGGCGCCTTAAATCGCCTTGAATGGTCGGTGCCCTGCTTGACGTGCTTGACGCGCCAAATCCGCTGCACTCTCACCCGACCCATCACCGTCCGTCGCCCACCTGATTACACCAGGAAATGGCATCACACGATGTGGCAAGGGAAGGGACGTTGCAAGGTTGCAAGATTGGAAGAATAAATCCTAAATCCTCCGGGTTGTGAACGAATAAATCCTAGACATCACACGATTTGAAATGAGGTGACTTTTGGGTCGTCTCAAAAGTCACATAGAGTAAATCCTAGACATCACACGATTGGAAATTAGTTCTGAGACGTCTCGGAACTGAATTACTTAACCAAGAGTCCCAGGGTGCGAGCGAACGAATGAAACTTGGACAACACACGATTGGAAACCCAAGGAGACGTGACATGATTGGACGAGCCCAGGAAGGGCGAGGGATGTAGCAGGGCATAGGGAGAGGAAGGATGGGAAGGAGGGGAGGTGGGAGGAGGGGAGATAGAGAGAGAGTGGAAACGAACGAATGGGAGCAAACAGCGGATTCACTATGCCGTGGCAGGCTCGTACCAGTCCCTGCCGCAGAACAAGGTGGCTTTTGAGTCAACTCAAAAGTCACTTGGGTACGGGTGAGAGGGGAAGCAGGGAGCAGGAAACGAACGAATGGGAGCAAACAGCGGTTTCACTCTGCCATGGCAGGCTCGTACCAGTCCCTTCCGCCCACGCCAGAGAGCACTCTGTCGACCACCCATCCGCCCTGATCGCTTTAGAGTCGCTTTTGAAAGGAACAAGAGGGTTGGAGGGCGCAGGGGGGTGAAGGGAACAAGAGGGTTGGAGGGCGCAGGGGGGTGAAGGGAACAAGAGGGTTGGAGGGCGCAGGGGGGTGAAGGGAACAAGAGGGTTGGAGGGCGCAGGGGGGTGAAGGGAACAAGAGGGTTGGAGGGCGCAGGGGGGTGAAGGGAACAAGAGGGTTGGAGGGCGCAGGGGGGTGAAGGGAACAAGAGGGTTGGAGGGCGCAGGGGGGTGAAGGGAACAAGAGGGTTGGAGGGCGCAGGGGGGTGAAGGGAACACGTCTTACCAGTCCCTGCCGCCCACGCCAGAGAGCACTCTGTCGACCACCCATCCGCCCTGATCGTCCGAGTCAGCAGCGTAGGATGGGGTGAAGGGAACTGCGATACGTGGGGGGGGAAGAGGGAGTTACCAGGGGGAAAGGGGAGGGAGATGGGGGAGAGTGAGGTGGTACGAGTAACGCCAGAGAGCACTCTGCCAACGACCCATCCGCCTTGATCGTCCGAATCAGCAGCGTAGGATGGGGTGAAGGGAACTGCGATAAATGGGGGGGGGGGGGGGGGGGAGAGGGGGTTGCCAGGGGGGAAGGGGAGTGAAGAGGTAAGAGTAACGCCAGAGAGCACTCTGCCAACCACCCATCCGCCCTGATCGTTCGAGTCAGCAGCGTAGGATGGGGTGAAGGGAACTGCGATCAAGGGAGCAGGAAGGGGGGGTGGGGGCGGAGAGAGGGGGAGGGGGGGATGGGGGGACGGAGGATATAGTGCGGATAAAGCCGAGGAGCAAGTTAACAGCGCGATCACACTCAAACTGGAAGAAAGAACGGACACGCACGCTGGAAGAAGATGAAGGATCGGCTATGAGGACGGATAGAGACGTTACTTGTCAGCAGTTTCTTTTCTGCAGCAGAAGCAGTTGCTGCGATCCCGCAACGTGGCTCCTGAGCTGAATCCCGGACCAAGGCGGCTCGCTGGGGACCACGGTTTCTGGGTTGACTCAAAAACCGCCTGCGGTATTTGGGTCAACTATAGAATCACTTACTTGGCAGCAATTTCTGCAGCAGAAGCAGCTGCTGCGATGGCGCGACGCCGCTGCCGAGCTGGATGCCCGACGCCTCTGCTTCTGCCAAAAAGAATCAATAAGAATGCCAGGATAAGCGGGAGGGCGAGAAACGTACTTGGCAGCAGTTTCTGCAGCAGGAGCAGCTGCTGCGATCGCGCGACGCCGCTACCGAGCTGAATCCCGGACGAAGGCGGCTCGTTGGGGACGGCTGTAACCACGGCGTCGAGCGACTGCGCCGAGCCGCACTCCTGGTTCCAAAACTGCGACGCGATGATCGCGCGATTCGGCAACATGGCTGCAATGCAAACTCCGTTTCAGGAAGTCGTTCCGAGAACAAGCGGTGATGGCGGGTCTCGGTCTAAGAACAAACGACGACGACGGATCTAATCCTTCCTAGCCTTTCCTAGGACGACGTGCGGAAGGGATCCTCCTTGCGAATCGACGGGAGCAGACAGAAATAAGCTGATCGCGCAACATTGATCGTTGCTGATCAGTGATCAAAATGCGAGGAACGACCTAAGTGATTCAAATGCTGGATCAAAATGCGAGGAACGACAAGGCCATCCTTGAGGATCGACCTGCGATCCACAGGGTAACCTTGGTTTCTGGTCACATTAGGTATTCTTGCTTCTTGGCCAGTGCGGAGTGTTTAGTACGAGAGGTGACGTGGCATGCATTCGTGTCAGGGCTGGGGAGCCAAGGAGGGAGCAAGGGAGATGGGAGGGTAAAATATATTGTTCTTCATTATTAGCTGCCGCGCTAACACGTCCGGTCACTGGAAACAGACGAACGATCAAAATGAAGGGTGATTGTCCAAAGATTTTACCTTGTATGGAAATTTAGAAAATAATGCTTTTCATCACAAGCTTTTCTTTCTCATTTTAAAAGCTGATTTATATATACCATAAGATTTATAGTAAATTAATAGGCATGTTTCCAGATGTCTCCTCCCCATCAACGGAAAATATACTCAGCAGTATTGATTGAGCAACTTGCGATAACGAAATTTGTTGTATTGTCAATCGCCTTTGGGCGTAATGTCAATTTCGTGCCTATGTCAACTCTTGGTGGCATGTACATCCTCATGTCCAGAAGCGGTTCAGAAACACGTCCTTCAGGGCATGTCTAGCGCGTTCATTTTTCCCTAACACGTACTTTTTACGTCTTCTGTACATGTTTGGAAAATTGTTACGGGGAATGTGGATGTCGCGAGGCTCACCTTTCGACCACAGAGTGCATGCTTGGCTCGGCCTTGTGCCCAGCCTTTAACACGAATGCTCTGCACAGCGAAAACAAAAGAGCTAGGCGAAATATACAGAGTTACGGTATCACGAGGCTAGAAAACGAGGCCTCGCTGTTTTTGCCACGGCATTGACGAATCGCCGGAATATGACGAACTCTTGTGTTTACCTTTCGCCAGACAGGATTTGTCGTTTCTGGCGAGAGTTAATTTCGGGCACGATTTCCAGCCGCTGCATGACTGCTGGCACGCTTCGAGAGCGTCCGCTAAGAACGGCACTTTTCGAGCGGGTCCTAGAAGACACGGAATTTCAGGTTACCACATCTAAATTCCGTACTTGTTACACCAACTGAATAGAATACGAGCGCGCTGGACAGCCCTCAACACCGAATCCTACCTTGGGCGTTGACAATGGGGGGGTGGTCTGGGGCCCAGTGCGAGGAGCTCTTGACTCCGAGGTCAACGCTCACCTGCAGGGGCTGGGCTGGGTGCTGGGCTGGGTGCTGCTGGGCTGCTGGGAGGAAACCTCGATCTGATGAGGAGCTCTCTCTCGAGCCCAGCAGTCTACCACGAGTCTGATCCTGAAACTTGACGAAGACCTCGAGGTTGTCGAGGGACTGACCACAAAGAGTGTCACTGTCACTGGTCTATCAGATAGTCATGAACGGAAACTTCACAGGGTGAACATAAGCAGGGGGAGGAGCGGCAGTCGCAAGGGACCCACTTCAGCAATTGTTCAGCCTACTAGCAGCATGAGTCACTAGAGCGAGTCAGCCATGTTAGATAGTGAGGCGTGAATAAACGCGGAGAACAATACACATACGACCCGTCCTGCACCTTTGAGCGTTCATCTCTTATGGTCTTAGAAGTTAGCCTATACGGCCTCTTGAGGCATCAGTGCTCTCTAGTCGGCTTTTAATGTTTCAGTCTCACAGTCAAGAAGTCTGAAACGCCGAGCTTTTTCACATTAAAGAATGCCACCACGGATAGTTGCTAGACGAATCACTTTAGGGCACTGATGATGCGGAATTGCTACGTCACGGTGAAACGTGCTTTGTATTTATGAACTTTAATTATCACCCAAGGTGATACGGAGCCTGGAAGGCTGGTTGCCGTCAGTTACCACATCAGTGGTTACCACATCATGGATATCTGGCGCAACGGCGTTATAGTCGCAGTGCTGTTCACGTTATTGTCGCGAGGCGTCTTCGCAACTCAAGAAGGTTCGTTCCTTCGCCAACCTAGTTGACACTCGTGAATGAAGCTGGCTTACTCTTGCCACTTAAGTCGTTTTTAAGCATGCACCTGAAGTTCTGAGTCACAAAGGACTCAATTTTCGCGCTTTTACCCCTTCCTTGTTCAAGACCTTTCCTCTGTACAGCCCTGTGTTAGAAGCTTGTCTTACAAGCTTGTGTTAGAAGCCTTTGACAACCAGGAGTCTATGGCAACTGGTTTTTCGGGTCTGACTCACAAGTCTCCCTCTCACCTGGCCCCTGGCTCCCTGGCCCTTTGGCCCCGTGTAACCTTCATTTATCAGGGCCTTACCTGTACAACTTCGTGCTGAAGGCGTTTGACAACTTGAAGTATGACAAGTGGAGCATGGACTACTCTGACTCATAACAAGTCTCCCTCTCACCTGGCCCCTGGCTCCCTGGCCCTTTGGCCCCGCGTAACCTTCATTTATCAGGGCCTTACCTGTACAACTTCGTGCTGAAGGCGTTTGACAACTTGAATTACGACAAATGGAGCATGGACTATTACGGTGGAGACCCGTGCCTGCTGCCTCCTGTCGCTTGCAACACAGAGGGTTATGTGACTCGCCTGTGAGTCACCGTTTCACAATCCTCCTGTGCGTGTGTATGGGACCTCGTTCGTGACTGTATAATTGCGTGCTGAAGGCGTTTGGCAACTTGAACTATGACAAGTGGAGCATGGTCTACTATGGTAGAGACCCGTGCCTGCTGCCTCCTTTCGCTTGCAACACAGGGGTATTTCTCTCGCCTATGAGTGCTCTTTTCCAAAGTTTTGTGAATTATATTTGTCCATGGCGTTTCTAACATTGTCACGCATATTCACCTACTGCCTGTAACACATTCTTCTTATTCAGATCCCGTCCACTTTTCTCCCAACCCCCCACTCATCTTGTGCGCAGCATATTGGCCTCGTTTCTTCCACCTCTCAACGGCACCCTCAGCCCCTACATCCGCTACTTCCCTTATCTGCAAGAGCTGTCAGTACACTCCATCCCCGATTTGTTGGTCGACTAAAAAATATTTCCTTATCTGCAAGAGCTGTCAGTACACCCCATCCATCCCTGATTTCCAGTCGATTCAAATGCAGATCCCAGTGTATTTTAACGTACTCAAAATACACCTGATTTCCAGTCGACTCAAATGCAGATCCTGGCCTCGTCTCTCTACCACCTCTGGACGGCTCCCTCAGCCCCTACATCCGATTCTTCCCTTATTTACAATAATTGCTAGTATACTCCACCCTCGTTGTATAGATTGTTGCTAGCGATGCCATCGATCCATCAAACATCTTACCTTCGCCCGTCTCTATGCCTAGTTCCGCTTCAATTTCTCACGTGGTCCGTATTTCTCTATTGCTTTCACACTTTCTCTTTTTCTTGTGTGTCTTTCTCATGTATGTCAATTTGTCAATGTATGCATGGATCCATTTGTGTGAATGTGTCGATGTGTACATGTATCCATGCGTGTGAATGTGTGCTTTCCTGCATGTGTGCATGTGTGCAGATATCTCAACAACAACAATCTGACAGGTGAAGTGGTGAGTGAGCCTTAGTGTCTCTTCTAGCATGTCTCAATTTCTTCCATATCAAAATCTTTGGCCGTGCTTGCCTGTGCGTGTTGGATTCTTCTTCGTAACCTGCTTTGCCCGAACAGGCTACATCTCTACTTCCGCTCACCCCTCCATCCATCTGCAGCAGCCATAGAATGCGCTGGCCAATCAGCTTTTGAGTCAACTCAAATGCAGACTCATTACCCGCGGTTTCTACATCGACAATATACTTTTTGAGTCGATGCAAACGCTCGACCCTCCGTCTGCACTGCAGTCAGTCGTAGAATGCGCCGGCCAATCCGACCAATCTCAGGGGGCTAGAATGTTTATTTTGGGGCTGTTGGCTCCTCAGTATAATAATTTGTCGTCACTCAATCTCTCTGTCTGAGGGAGCTAGGATGTTCGTTTCGGGTGTCTTATACTTAGTTTGTCACTCACTCTCTCACTCACTCGTATCTTCCTTGCAGCCGTGGGCGGCACTGGGCGAACTGAGTAATCTGAGGGTGCTGGATCTAAGCAGCAACTCTTTCACAGGGACAATCAAGGCTGTTGGGAGCCTACCACGTGTTGCTGACCTGTAAGTTTGCTTGGTGGCGTCTCAAGAGATTGCTCTCGAGCAGAAAACTGGGAAACAGGATGCATCAAGGCTGTAGGGAGCTAGCCCCGTGTTTCTGACCTGTGGGCTTGCACTGTGCGCGGAGATCTTATTGTTTGGTGCATTTCGGCGCATTTCGTGGCTTCGCAGTAGTCAGGCACTTCTTGATGGTGCTTGATGCTTGCATGTTTTATATTTCGTCTCTTGCTGTTCTTTCCAAGTCACCTCCTCACCTCACCATGCCACCTTCCCTTGCCATGTGCAGGCGGCTGCAGAACAATCTGTTGTCTGGTACCATACCCGCGGCATTCAAGGCGAAGACATGCGAGCCGTGAGTACAGAACCAAGGCACGAGAAATGATGACAATGCAATGCTGTGGGTAGTCTGTTCTTGAGGTGCCTCAATTACTCTGGCCAGTGGGCGACGCTTTTTCACACACATTTTTGCTGTTTCTGATGTGCCTTGTTACCTTTGGCACGTGTCTGCAGGTTTCTGGGCAACTCCAATCTTGTCTGCCCATCAGGTACGCCTGCCCATCAGGTACGCCTGCCCATCAGGTACGCCTGCCCATCAGGTACGCCTGCCCATTAGTGCGCCTGTTTGTGTTCTTTCCCACAGACGTACGTACCACCGATGGGCAGGTGCCTTTAGTGATTCCCCTGGCTCCCTCTGGCTCCTGTGTTCTATGCACCTCCATGGGTGACTTTTAAGGCGCCTCAATAAAAACTTCTTGCTGCGGTTTTCGAACTGCTGCCACAAACTTTCCAACCAACTGCGCCTCCTTGCCACAAGCGCCTCCCTCCATGATATGACTGCCGCTTCTTGTTTTGCTTTCCCTCATCCACTCTCACTCACTGGTGCCATGTGACTGTCCCTCCTCTCTGCTTTCTTTATACCCAAACGCCCCAGCTCAGACTTTGCATCAGCAGCGCCAGTCAACGCACCAGTCCAGGAAAGCCCGCCCCCTCCAGCTTCCTCCAGCTCTCTGCCAGCCATCATAGGCGGCGTGGTGGCCGGCATAGCTTGTCTGCTTCTGCTGCTGATCGGTGTTTGGTGGTGGTGGCGGCGGCAGCAGCAGCAGCGGAAAATGAAGGGGAGCATAGGGCTGGAGAAAGGCGAGGTGGCTGATCCGCTGCGTGGTGAGAGGGGGGTCGGGCTGGACACGGAGAGACGGGTGGAGAGAGTGGGTGGAGAGACACGGGTGGAGAGAGTGGGTGGAGAGAGTGAGTTGGGAGAGGGATTGGGAGGGAGGGAGCATGTCTGCTTTCAGGCAGCAGGCACCTCAAAACATGCAGAAGATTGTGGCGAGCATAGGGCTGGAGTTAGGCGAGGTGGCTGATCCGCTGCATGGTGAGCGGGGAGAGGGGGCTCGGAGATGGCCTGTGGTTGGTCCGTTGCATGGTGAGCGGGGAGAGGGATTGGGAGGCGAGGCGGCTTGTTTAACGTCAAAACAGGCAGATTATCAAGGGAAGCAGAACGGAAATGGAGAAGGTGAGGTGGTTGCGCTGTTGCATGGTGAGCGGGGAGAGGGATTGGGAGGGAGGGAGCATGTCTGCTTTCAGGCAACAGGCACCTCAAAACATTCAGAAGGTTGTGGGGAGCATAGGGCTGGAGAAAGGCAGAATCGTTGATCCATTGCACGGTGAGAGGGAGAGGGATTGGGAGGGAGCATGTCTGCTTTCAGGCAGCAGGCACCTCAAAACATGCAGCAGATTGTGGGGAGCAAAGGGCTGGAGATAGGCGAGGTGGTTGATCCGTTGCATGGTGAGGAGGGGGTTGGGGCGGGTCACGGAGAGACGAGGGGAGAGAGTGGAACATGGGGGTAAGAGCGGCCGGGGGGGCAGGCGATGGTGATTTGCACGGGGAGTAGGGTTGTTTTGTAAGGTGCCTCGCGACCGGCATCACATTGATGTGAGTGCGAATGCGGCGTGGTATTCCATGTACCCATCATGTGGTCGCCCTTTTTTTTCTATTCTTTTCCTTTATTCTTTTCCTTTAATCTTTTCCTTAATCTCCCTCTTCATCCCTTCTTCTTTCTTTCGTACCCTCCCGCCCTTCCCCCCCCCCCCTCTACCCCCTCACCCCCTCACCCTTCACCTCCTCACTCCTCGTTTGCTGCTCCCTGTACTGTACCCTCACTGCTTGACCCTCTGCAGCTCTGCTGTTTCCCCCAGAGGAGCTCCTGACCCAGCTGCAGCAGCTGAGGCGGTTTCGCCTGGAGGACCTAGTCAACCCCTCACTACTCACCTCACGACTTCTTTATGCATCCTCCCCCACCTTACGCCTCTCTACCCTTTCCAGACGAGATTACTAGCCACTGGCAGCAGCTGAGGCGGTTTCACCTGGAGGGCCTTTTGATTCAACCTCTCACTACTTCCACACCCCACTCACGACTTATTTATCCTCCCGCACCTTACACCTCTCTACCCCTTCCAGAGGAGATCCTCGGCCACTTGCAGCAGCTGCAGCGGTTTCACTTGTAGGACTCTTTCAGTCGCCTTGGTACTCACCACTTCAGCTGCGGCCACTACGGCTGGAGGACCTTTTGAGTCGACCCCTCACTTGGTTATGGTTTCTCCTTCCCGTATAACTCTTAACCCCTTGCAGAGGAGATCTTGGGCCACTTGCAGCAGCTGCAGCGTTTTCGCCTGGAGGACCTCCGCAAGGCGACCGGGGGGTTCGGCAGCAGGCAGCTGCTGGGGGAAGGGGGGTATGGGCTTGTGTATAGAGGGGCGCTGGAGGACGGCAAGCAAGTGGCGGTTAAACTGCTCAAGGTATGTTGTGAGTCAATCCAAAAAGCTCTGCAGGTGTGTGGATGGAACCCAATGGGTTCAGCAGCAGCCAGCTGCTGGGGGGAGGGGGGTACGGGCTGGTGAAAACAGGGGGATGCTGGAGGGCGGTGCTCCAGTGGCGGTTAAACTGCTCAAGGTGAATGAAGTGGAGTGAGCTGAGAATGCACTTCTGGAGGGCCTTCGCAGGGCTACCAGCGGGTTCAGCAGCAGCCAGCTGCTGGGGGAAGGGGGGTACGGGCTGGTGTGCAGAGGGAGCCTGGAGGACGGCACACAAGTGGTGGTTGAACTGCTCAAGGTAAGCTCTGAGTTGACAAAAACGCGCTGCAGGGCTGTGGAAGGAAACCAAAGGGTTCAGCAGCAGTCAGCTGCTGGGGGGGGGGGGGGGGGGGACACAGGATTGATCGGAGTCCAAAAGGGCTGTGGGACTGTGAAAGGAAACCAATGGGTTAAGCAGCAGTCAGCTGCTGGGGGAAGGGGGGTACGGGGTTTGAATGATATAAGCGATGCCGATGGGTTCAGCAGCAGTCAGCTGCTGGGGGAAGGGGGGTACAGGGTTTGAATGATATAAGCGATGCCGATGGGTTCAGCAGCAGTCAGCTGCTGGGGGAAGGGGGGTACGGGTTTTGAATGATATAAGCGATGCCGATGGGTTCAGCAGCAATCAGCTGCTGGGGGAAGGGGGGTACGGGGTTTGAATGATATAAGTGATGCCGATGGGTCTAGGTGCAAAAAAACGGTGGTCGTTTTAAACGGGCCGTTTAATACGATCGTTTTTTACGGCATTTTTGGGAAAAGAACACCGTTTTTTTGTTTGAGAAAACCTGTTACAAAAAAAACTTCTTTTTCGACTTTGACAAGCACAAGACACTCCCTGAGACCTCTAGCCGTCAAGGCGCCCCCAGATTCGCACTACAATGCAATGACCAGAGCTCTAACACCATACGCCTCCCTCTAACTAGCACCTACCCTCCCCCTACTCCTCCTCCCAGTCCTCGGCCTTCTCCTCCCCCTACTCCTCCTCCTACACCTCCACCTACCCTCCTCGTTCTCCTTCTACTCCTCCTCCATTTGGCATCCACTTCCTAATCCTCCTCTTCTTCCTCTTCCTCCTCCTCCTCCCCCTGCTCCTCCTCGTCCTCGTCGTCGTCCTCCTCCTCCTCCTCTTCCTCCTCCTCCTCCTCGTCCTCCTCGTCCTCCTCCTCCTCGTCCTCGTCCTCGTCCTCCTCCTCCTCCTCCTCCTCCTCCTCCTCCTCCTCCTCCTCCTCCTCCTCCTCCTCCTCCTCCTCCTCCTCCTCGTCCTCCTCCTCCTCGTCCTCCTCCTCCTCCTCCTCCTCCTCGTCCTCCTCCTCCTCCTCCTCCTCCTCCTCCTCCTCGTCCTCCTCCTCCTCCTCCTCCTCCTCCTCCTCCTCCTCCTCCTCCTCCTCCTCCTCCTCCTCCTCCTCCTCCTCCTCCTCCTCCTCCTCCTCCTCCTCCTCCTCCTCCTCCTCTTCCTCTTCCTCCTCTTCCTCCTCTTCCTCTTCCTCCTCTTCCTCCTCCTCGGCACGCTTCCCCTTGCCCTTTTTTCCTCCGCTGCTCTTCCTAGCTCTCTTCCCTGCCCGGTTCTTCAAAGAGCTCTTCTTTTTACTCCCGGCCGAGCATCCAAACGTGCTCCAATCAATGGCGCACGCCACCGCATCCTTCCCTTCCTCCTGCTCCGCGACCTCGGGTTCCACTGGGGGGCCTTGTGGCATGCTGCAGCCTTCCTTCAGCTTTCCTGAAGCAAGGTCAGCGTACAACTTGGCACGCGCCTCTTGCTGCTGGTCGAATGCTGACCTGGCGCGCCTGCTGAAGGCGACCGAGGTCACATCGATCCTAGTCTTGGCACTGAGGTTGTTACGGTCGTGCCGCTGAACTCGAGCCATGGCCGACCACCATCGCTCGACCTCGACGTGACCGTCTGTGAGAGAATTCTCACAGCCACCTCCTGCAGGTGCCGTACCTCCCAGCTGTAGATCAGCCACCACTCCGCCTCTGTCATCCTGCCGCTCTCCACCAGTGTGGATGCAGCCCACCTTGCGTCCTTCCCCCCCAGTTTCCCCGCCCCCTTGTGGAAGGCCGCTAGCTGTGCTTGTAGCAGCGTCCGTCGTCCGGGGTCGTCGTCTCGTGCCTCCAACACGAGGTCAGCCCCTTTGCGGATCTCCGTGTCACCCGAAACATCACCCGAGAACTGGTTTAGGGGGCTCAAAAGCCACCCGAACGCTTGGAGGGGGTTGTGCAACTGCCCATCCCACCTCCTCGCGATGATCCGCCTCATACACCGGAAGCATGAGGCGGAGGACGACGTTCACCGACTCCCAGAACGTGTCCTCCAACATCAGCTTCCGGATCTCGTGGCCCTCGTCGGTCCCCGAGACCGCCACCCCCTTCCATTCGGCGCTTATCACCATCCGCTGCAACTGCTTCTTCACAGCAAGAAACCGCGTGATCATGATCACCTTGGTTCCAAACCGCGTGGTTCCGGGCTTGACAAGCTCGAGCTCGCTGAAGATTTCTCTGAAGAAAGTAACGGCTGAGGCGCTGTTTTTAACCATCATCACCACTCGCTGCGCCTCCGACAGCACCTTGTTCACGACTTTAATCCTCCCCATGTCGTGCAACATGAGGTCCAAACAATGAGCAGCACAGTTGGTGAAGAACACGGCAGGAAAGCCGTCCTTCAAGAGGGAGGCGGCTTTCTTATTGTTACTTGCGTTGTCCATTACAACCTGGACAACGTACCTGTCACCAACCTCGCAAATTCCACGGCGGATCAAGCCCGCCAAGAAATCCCCAGTTTTCTTGGCGGTCTTCGAGTCCACCACGTCGACGAGCACGGGCCCGCTGTCATTCTGCGCGATGACACACACGAGGGCCCGGCTCTTCAAGCAAGACCAACCGTCGACTGAGATGCTGCAGCCGACAGTTCTCCAAGTGTCCTTCAGGGGCGACACCAAGTCATTGGTGTCGGCCTTCAGCTTCTGCAGTAGGGGTCCAGAAACCATATACGCGGAGGGAAGCTTGTATTGCTTCCCGAACGCGATAGTGGCGTTCACGAACGCCTCAATGCCGGGGACCTGGTGGGAACAGTAAGGAGGATCTTAGCGCGATTCCAGACTTGGAGGCGGAATGCCTAAGACCAGGAGCCCACAAAGTTTGGCGGACATAACTGGGGGGCAGGTGGACAGGGAGGGACTCACTGGGAACAACGAAACGCCCAGTCGTTTTCCGCCACCGCCGTCACCCACAGGTAATCCAGTCGCTGCCGCCCTTGCTGGTCCGTTAGCTCGCGAATGTCGAGCTGACCGCCGCGCGGAGCCTGCGTCCCGTCGACGGTCGACATGGAGCCCGGAATCGAAGCCGAGCAAGAAGAGGAGCGCGTTCCCTCACCCTTGGCGCACAGATTCTGCGCGAATGCCGAGGTGCAGGCGGCGACGTTCTTCGCTTTCGCAGCAGGGGTGCCGAACATATGCTCCTGAATTCTTGTCGCATTGGCCGTCACTGGCTGGTGGCAGTGAATGCACTCCGTCTTCAAAAGCCGGCCCTCGTCATTATAAAATCGCGTCACGTGCTCCCACGTGGGAGAAGGGGTGCGCGGCATGGCGGCTAACCTACGATGGGCTCGCTTGTCCTAATCGTACGCACTCGTTGCGTGGGCGAATGACCAGGTAAGAAATCTGCTAGCTACCTAGCTTAGATCGATGCGGGAATTCAGACATGAGTACTCACCTCTGCAGATGTGCTCCACGTTTGTAAGTGAGCGACATGTGTGGAGTCGTCAGAGACGTTTGAGAAAGCGGAGGGGAGGGATGCAAATTGGCGGGGGGGTGGAATTTCCGCGACGCGACGCCGCCGCATGCGTGTCGCACTGTGCGAAATATACCCCTTTTGCCGCGGATCTGTACACCACATCGCTGGCGAAGCGGGAATATAATTCGCAACGGTGTTGCGAACTAGGTTCAATGCGCGGCTCGTAAGTTCGTTCGATGCGCGCCTCGGACACATTTCGCGACGACATGATTCCAACATTTTGCACACAACGAATTCGACTCGGTGAGAAACATGGACCCGATATACGTCGTCTACATGGTGGTGCAAAAAATACGATCGAAAAAAACGATCGGATTTTTGCACCAGCACAAAAAAGCACACTCTGACCGTTTTTAACCGTATAATACGGCCGAAACCTTCGGTACTGTACCATACGGTCAATTTTTGAAAAAAATTGTCGTTTTTTTGCGCCTTGCGATGGGTTCAGCACCGCTACCTGCTCAGACTGGAGGGCTTCTTTATGTCCCGAGGTGACTTTTGAGTCGACTCAAAAGTCACCTCGTTGCTCAGACTAGAGGGCTTCTTTATGTCCCCTCCAGTCCACCATCTCCCCCCTCCTCCCCCTTCTGCCCCCTCAAACACCAGAAAGACAAGCGGGGCAGCGAGGAGGCATTTGTAAACGAGGTGAAGTCGCCCCGCGCACTGCAACCTGCTCAGAATGGAGAAGTTCTGTCTGCCCCCTCCCGTCCCACTACTCCCCTCTTCCCGTACCTCCCCTCCTACCCTAATTCCCTCCTGTGTGCCAACAACAGAAGGAGAAACGGGGCAGCGAGGAGGCGTTTGTGAATGAGGTGAACGCTATAAGCTGTGCCGTGCACCGCAACCTGCTCAGGCTGGAGGGGTTCTGTGTGGACAAGGGCGAGCGGCTGCTGGTGTTCCCCTTCCTGCCGCATGGGTCTGTGGCGGATTACTTGAAAGGTGAGAACAGGGGGGGGGGGGGGGACAGAGAGTGCTCTCACTCGCAACCTGCTGAGGCTGGAGGGGTTCTGTGTGGACAAGGGAGAGCAGCTGCTGATGTTCCCCTACCTGCCGCATGGGTATGTGGCGGATTACTTGAAAGGTGAGTAAAGGAATCGTTTTTTTTTTTTTTTTTTTTTGGTCTGGTATCGCCATAACATCTGAAGAGGAGGATTGGTTTGCCCCAGGCAGGCCAAGGGCGAGCAGCAGCGATTGTTGCCTTTCTCATCCTCCACGATCCCTTCTTTCTCGTACTCTCTTCCTGCACATGGCTCTGGTGGTGCTATGATGCATTTGCCCATCTTCTTATCACGTCTCTCTTCTCCTCCTCTCGTTTGTGCCTCTCTCACCCCTCTCGACTCCTCTCTTCTCCCCTCTCACCTTCCACTTCTCCCCACGTTGCCCGGTACCCGCACGGCAGGTGGCCGCCTGAGGGGCAAGACCACGCTGACATGGAGGCACAGGCGGAATATAGTGCTGCGGGCTGGAGGAATACGGATGTAGCATCACTCTGCTGCATCACTTCGCTTCACATCCCTCCTCACCCCACGCACACTGCCTGCCAGGTGGCCGCCTGAGGGACAAGACCACGCTAACATGGAAGCACAGGCGGAATATAGTGCTTGGGACAGCGGAGGGGCTAGCGTACATGCACACGGACTGTACCCCCAGGCTCATTCACTGCGATGTGAAGGTGAGTCAGTACTCACAGTAGGGGGGCTCCCATACACAGTAGGGGGGCTCCCACACACAGTAGGGGGGCTCCCACATACAGTAGGGGGGCTCCCACACACAGTAGGGGGGCTCCCATACACAGTAGGGGGGCTCCCATACACAGTAGGGGGGCTCCCATACACAGTAGGGGGGCTCCCATACACAGTAGGGGGGCTCCCATACACAGTAAGGGGGCTCCCATACACAGTAGGGGGGCTCCCACACATGCGCACGGACTGCACCCCCAGGCTCAGCGCAAGACTACAATCACAGCAGAGGGGCTCGCATACATGCACACGGACCACCCCCAGGCCCATTCTCTCTTCCCTCCCTAAAAAAAATCCACCCCCCATTCCCCTCTCCTCTACCCCAGTTCACCCCCCCCTCCTTTCCCACCTCCGTAACTTTCCAAAGGCCAAAACTGGGTGTGTAATGGAAGGCAACGATCGGATCATCAGTGACTATATCCCTCCCCTATATGTCAAAACTGGGTTTGACAGCCTATATGTCAAAACTCTCTATCATCTATCCCTCCCCTCCCCCTCCCCCCCTCCTCCCCCCCCCCCGTTTCCCCCCCTTCAGGCCGAAAACGTGCTTCTGAAGGACACCGACCCGGTCATCACTGACTGTGGGCTGTCCACGCCATCTTGAGGAGTCTATTTTTTAGGAGTCTATTTTTGAGGCGCCTCAAAAATGGACTGTGGTCTGTCTAAGCCATCTTCTCCCTCTGTGCCACTCTTCTCCCTTCTCTCACCTCACCTCACCTCCCCTCACCTTCCCTCACCTCCCCTCACCTTCCCTCACCTCCCCTCACCTTCCCTCACCTCCCTTCCCCACCTTTCCTCACCTCCCCTACCTCTCAAGGCCAGAAAAACATGCTTCTAACAAAACGGACAACGTTCCAGTCATTTGTGACTTAAGCCTGTCCCAGCACTCTCATCCGTTCATTCCCTGCCTTCTCATTCTCGCTCCTTCTGACCTCTCGTTAGGCCGAGAACGTGCTTCTAATGGAGGATAACGACCCGGTCGGCTGTGTCTTTGCCTCTCAAGGCTCCTACGCTCACCTCCTCCACCTCACCCCCCCTCCCTTTCTTTACGCTGATAACGACCCCGTTATTTGCGACTTTGGCCTGTCGAATAGCTGTTTCTTCACCCTTCTCCTCCTACGCTTTTGACTCCCCTCCTCTTTCACCTCCCTCTTTAGGCTGAGAACGTGCTTCTAACGAAGGATAACGATCCGGTTATTTGCGACTTTGGCCTGTCGAAGCTGGTGGAGGTGGAGGTACCCTCCATTCCCAAGAGAGGGGGTGCAGGGGCAGCAGTGCGCGGAACCCTGGGGCACCTCGCTCCAGGTATGGTACCAGTAGATGCGCCCTTTCCCAGGTAAAGCCTGTCCTGGCTAGTGAAATCGGAGGTACCTTCCATCGCCCAGAGGGGCAGAGCAGTGCAGGGGCAGCAGTGAACCTTAGGGCACCTGGCTCCAGGTAAGATCTCAAGCTCCAGGGAAGCACCTTTTGCTCAAAGTAGCTTCTCTGCCCTTGGCCTGTCGAAGCTGGTGGAGGTGGAGGTACCCTCCATTCCCAAGAGAGGGGGTGCAGGGGCGGCAGTGCGGAGAACCCTAGGGCACCTCGCTCCAGGTGAGCGCCTCGCGGTCAGGGTATTCTTTGTTGCCAAGAGAGGCGGTGCAGGGGCGGTAGTGCGGGAAAGCCTAGGGCACCTCGCTCCACGTATGGTGACAGCACATCTGCAATGCAAGTGACAGCACATCTGCAATGCAAGTGACAGCACATCTGCAATGCAAGTGACAGCACATCTGCAATGCAAGTGACAGCACATCTGAAAGTGACAGCAAGAGCAACACATCTGGGGTGGAACCTTAGGGCACATCTGCTCTGTCCCATATGCACTCCTTTATACGTTTTTCATGCTGGCCTATTAACCCTCTGCTTCATACGTTTGCGATTCCGGCCTGTTGCCTCTTCTTTATACGCTTGTGATTCCGGCCTGTTGCTCTTCTTTATATGCTTGTGGTTCTGGCCTATTGCCTCTTCTTTATACGTTTGTGGTTCTGGCCTATTGCCTCTTCTTTCTCAACCTTGTTCTGTCATGTCATCCCCCTTATAGAGGTATTCACGACCCGAAAGTGCTCTTGGTGATGTCGGCTGCAGCATTTTCAGACCACCCTCCGCTCTTGATTTTGCCCCGCTTTCTGCTATCCCCCTTTTAGAGGTGTACGCTACTGGCAAGTGGTCCGAGAAGTCTGATGTGTTTGGCTTCGGTGTGCTGCTGGTCGAGTTAATTGCGGGCAGCAGCCTTTTCGACTTGCCGATGAGCCAAGGTGAACCCCAGGGCGAAGGCACTGGCGGCAGTGGCAAAGACCAACGGGACCAGAAGGAGAGCGGAGAGGGGGGAGGCAGGAAAGGCACAGACGAGCAGGGGGGCGCCACAGAGGAGATCAAGGACGTGGGGGGGGAGAAGGAGAAGCAGGCGAAGCAGGAGGAGGTGGAGGAGGAGGAGAGGGAGAAAGCGGGAGATGACATGACACTGCGGGAGTGGGTGACCTGTGAGATGCAGCAGGGGCATGTGAACACGCTGGTTGACGTGCAGATCAGGTCACATCCTGCTGACTGCGACCCACTCGAAGTGCAGGTGAGAGGAGACTAGGGGAGGGGAGGGGAGGGGAGGGTAGAACTAGTTCAAAGTAGACGAGGTGAGACGGTCAGTGTGAGAAGCAGCAGGGGCATGTGAGTGAGCACTCTGGTTGACGTGCAGATCAGGTCGCACCCTGCTGACTGCGACCCTCTCGAAGTGCAGGTGAGAGGCGAGAGAGAAGAAGATTGCGGGTGAGAGGATGGGAGGAAGGAAGAGATGAAGGGCGTTTCCAAAGTGGCTTTGGGTCACGCGACGAGTGACAATTCGCATACCAAAAATACTTCATGCTCCACTGTTCTTAAACGCGAAAGGAGACTGCGATCCGGTGTCCATTATGACGAGACGAATTTCTGTGGCTGTATTCGTGCGTAGTCTGCTTTTAAGCCGACTTAAAATTCTATTTGTGAGTGGATCGAGCATAGTTTGTAAAACACACACATCTCTGGCGGAAATCTCAACTTCATACACCACCAGACGCAAAAAATCTGCATTTTGGACAGAATGCCGGACTTTGTGCATTCTGGATTTCGTTACTAGTACCGGACGTGCGTGTGCCATTTCAGTTACTGAAGTCGAGATCCAACTTGGGCCGAAATCCTCTTGCAACACGTTGGAAACGCCCTAAGTGCAAGGCAGGGACATGTGAGCACACTGGTTGATGCGCGGACCAGGTCGCATGGCAAGGGCAGGTTGTGACCTGCAGGCTGCAGCATGTGCAGGGCACAGGCCTGCCATGTCTGCCCTCCCACTCCTTGCCCCGTATCTCATTCCCCCATCCCCTCCTTTTCCCTGTGTATTTTGATTGAATCGACTCAAAATACACCAAAATACTTTTGAGTGGACTCAAAATACACCGAAATACTTTTGAGTCGACTCAAAATACACCGAAATACTTCTGAGTCGACTCAAAATACACCGAAATACTTTTCAGTCGACTCAAAATACACCGAAATACTTTTGATTGGACTCAAAACGCACTGAAATACTTTTGAGTCGACTCGAAATACACTGAAATACTTTTGAGTCCACTCAAAATACACCGAAATACTTTTGAATCGACTCAAAATACATCGAAATACTTTTGAGTTGACTCAAAATACACCGAAATACTTTTTAATCGACTTGAAATACACCGAAATACTTTTGAGTTGACTCAAAATACACCGAAATACTTTTGAGTCGACTCAAAATACACCGAAATACTATTGAGTCGACTCAAAATGCACCAAAATACTTTTTAATCGACTTGAAATACACCGAAATACTTTTGAATCGACTCAAAATACATTGATACTTTCGAGTCGACTCAAAATACATCGAAATACTTTTGAGTCAACTCAAAATGCACCGAAATACTTCTGAGTTCACTCAAAATACACCGATAGACGCTTGAGTCGACTCAAAATACACCGAAATACTTTTGAGTTGACTCAAAATACACCGAAATACTTTTGAGTCGACTCAAAATACACCGAAAAACTTTTGAGTTGACTCAATGTACACCTGTGAGCACGCTGGATGATGTGCAGCTCAGGTCACAAGGCAGGGGCAGGTTGTGGGCCGCAGCATGTGCAGGGCACGGGTTGACTCAACGGCACGAGTCGACTCAGGGGCATTTTGTGGGCTGCAGCATGTGCGGGGCACGAGTTGCTTTCGAGTCGACTCAAGAGCAGGTTGTGACTTGCAGGCTGCAACATGTGCGGGGCAAGGTCCTGTCTTGTCTGCCATCCCACTCCTTTCCCCCCCGTATCTCATCTCCCCATCCCTCCTTTTCCCATGCCTAAACTTTCCTGCACAGGGCTCTGCTCTGCTTGCAACAGTCGATTTTTGAGGCGCCTAAAAAAATATCACCCCATTCCTCCTTTTTCCCCGCTCGAATTTTCCTGCACATGGTTCTGCTCTGCTTGCAACAGTCCCCCACCGACTGGCCCACGATGAGCAAGTGTGTAGCACTGCTGCAGGGCACGGGCCTGGTGGGTCAATTCACCCCTCTGTTTACACTCATCTTCCTCCCGTCCCCCCATCCCGCATCCCCTCCCATCGTAGGTCTTCCTGCACGTGGCTCTGCTCTGCTTGCAGCAATCCCCCACCGACCGACCAACAATGAGCGAGTGTGTGACCATGCTCCAGGGCACAGGCCTGGCGTGCCGGTGGCAGCTGTGGGGCAATGGGATGGAGGAGGGCATGCGCCCACCAGATATGCCCACGCCGGATGGCGTTGTTTCGGACTCGGGCGACAGTTACTTGCCTCTCGATATTTCAGGACCGCGCTAAGGCTTGATGCATTTTTCGATCTATATATATGGAGTTCAGAACGGTAGCAGTTCGGTGTGCAGTTTTCACCTTCGGCACCTCAAAGGAGTTAGGATACAGGGCTCGTGCATGGCATGCCAGTGGCAGCTGTGGGACAACGGCATGGAGGAGGGCATGCGCCCACCGGATATGTCCACGCCAGATGGCGTTGTTTCGGACTAGGAAGACAGTTACTTGCCTCTCGATATTTCAGGACCGCGCTAAGGCTTCATGTATATCTTGATCTGTTTATATATATATATATATACATATATGTATATATTGTTAACGTAGAAACGAATGATTACTAGAGGTGGAAACCTAGAACAAATACTAGTTGGTTGTACTCACTAGAAGCATACCTCAGTCTAGCCTATAACTTCTACATAGATAATATGTATAAGTTGACACACCCCCTAGGCTAGACAAGGGGTGAAACTAAACAAGAAGCAAACAGCTCAGGGCGGCACTACTAGTCCAACCACTGAGGCAGGGGTCCGGAGACCAGTCAGCAAGAATACAACCAAAACTGAAGCAAGCCAGGGTGGCACTACTAGTCCAGCCACTGGAGGTAAGGCCACAAGGCCAGTCTGACAAGCATATATAATAGAGAGTACACAATCAGGATCCTAACAGGGGAGCAGCTATAGGAACAAGACCAAGCTGTACACAGTGCCGCTGATGATCTTTAGGCGCAAGCGCCTTAGTAAAGATATCAGCTGTGTTGGCACCTGAGGCCAAGTGAACTACGCGGGCCTGGCGGCGCTGCTGTAGCTCGCGCAGGAGGAAGTACCGCAGCTGGATATGCTTCGCTCTGCCCTCAAGCCGAGGCTCCTGACACAGGAGTATCATGGCCCTGTTGTCAGCGTACAGGACCGGGGCAGAGCTAGGCCGCTCACCTAAGTCTGTGAGCAAGAAGGTCAGCCAGCGGAGCTCCTGTGCCGCCATGGCACCAGTGTAGATCTCAGCCTCACAGCTAGACTGAGCCACAGACGACGAGCGAGTGGATCTCCAAGAGATAGCACCCGAACCAAGGCTAAAACAGTAGCCCTGCGACGACCTGAGCGTCTCAGCGTCGTCTGCCCAAGAAGCGTCTGTGTGCCCAGTAAGGACCACTGGCCTGCGTCCTCCTAGCACTAACCCCATGCCTGATGTACTAGCAAGATAACGCAAAACCCTCTTAGCGGCAGACCAGTGCTGAGGTCGGTGTCTGCCTGTAGCCACAAAGCGAGCCAGGATGTTGAGAGGGTATGCGAGATCTGGGCGAGTGCAAGTCATCAGGTACATGAGGCAACCCACCAGCTCTACGTAGGGGCCACTGGGCTCTACTGGCTCCTCAGGAACGGGAGCAGAGAGCCCATGGTCTACGGGTAGAGGTGTGGGCTGTGCGGAGGAGAACTGAAGACCGAACCTCTGAAGGACCTGACGCACCAAGTGTGACTGGGTCAGAGTGATGGTGCGTGCTGCTCTGTCCCTAGAGATCTGCAGGCCAAGATAGCGACGCAGCTCTCCAAGGTCAGTGCAAGTGTGTCTCTTCAGCAGCTCAGCCTTCACAGAGGCCAGTGCGTCCCTGTCAGGAGTAGCGAAGACCAGGTCGTCTACGTAGACAAGGATGTAGAACGGAGTCTGGCCGGAACGCACAAACAGTGAAGGGTCAGCAGAGGACGGAAAGAACTGCAGGTCTGCTAACGTGGCACGTAGCGTGTCGTGCCACTCGCGGGGAGCCTGACGCAGGCCGTAGACCGGGCGCCTGAGAAGCCACTGGGTCCCAGGAGGGAAGGTACCAGTGAAGCCCTGTGGTCGGCGCAGGTAGACCTGCTCGTGTAGGCTGCCCTGAAGAAAGGCAGTAGAGAAGTCGAGGGAGTGAAGCTCGTAGTCACGCTGTGCTGCTACGTGTAGCAGCGCCCGAAGAGTGGTCATCTTCGGGGTCGGGGCGAAGGTCTGGAAGAAGTCAACCCCCTCGCGCTGACTGAAACCTCTGGCCACGTAGCGCGCCTTGAAGACAGGCGGCTCTCCAGGGGGGCGCTTCACCTTGAAGAGCCACCGACCATCGACTACGTTCACCCCAGGCGGGGGAACTGCGTCGACGTAAGTGCCGGTGGATCTCCAAGATGCCATCTCCTGCTCCATGGCAGCTATCCACTGAGAGGCCCAAGGTCCCGAGGTGGCCTCAGCGTAGGTGCGAGGGGTCGGGATGTCGAAGGCGTCTGGGTCACCCTCAGGGACTAACAGCATGGAGCAGAGATGGGGAGCAGCCTCGGAAAGGAAAGCCAGCTCGTACTGCCTGTCCTCTAGAACGTCACTGCCAAGGGCAGGAGCACCCCCGACGGACAGAGGACGGGCAGGGTCAGAGACCAGAGCGGTAGCGTAGTCAAGGCGGCGGGTAGAAGCGAAGTCAGCGACAGCAGCGACAAGCGCGTCAAGGCGCGAGACAGGAACAGCAGGGTCGGTAACAAGAGAGGCAAGGACCCGAGGGACAAGGGGACGAGCAGCACGTAGGTAGTCAGAGAACGGAGGAGGTGCAACAGCAAGGGACGAGGGAGGAGGGGACGGGAGGAGGGGAGGACGAGACGAGTGGGAACGGAGCAACATAGGGTGGGTGGGCAGGACAGGAGAGACGGGACGAGCACGGGAGGGACGGCGAGCCCAAACGTGAGACGGAGGGGTAGGGTCAGGGGACAGCGGAGGAGACACAGGAGGGGAACGAGGAGGAAGACGGGCCGGAGACGAGTCTGGCGGCGGGAACACACGACCGTAGACAGGGAGGTCAGGAGGCGGTGGGGGAGACACCGGCGCGCGGTCCGGGGAGGGAAGGCCGAGCAGGCGGAGAGCGGAAACCGGCGGCGACGGCTGCTGCGGCGGCGACGACGGCTGGGCCGGAACTCTCGGACCAGCAGAGGCAGAACGACCGTCGGCAGAACACTCAACAGCAGCACCCCCAGAACCAACACCCCCAGAGCGAGAACCCCCTCCAACACCAGCGGCACCCCCAGAAGCCGCAGGACGAACACCCTCCTCCACACCAGCACCCCCAGGGGCCGAGAGCAGCGGCGGCAGTGGCGGCAACGGCTGCGGCGGCGGCGACAGCGGCGACGGCTGCGGCAGCGACAGCGGCGGCGGCGGCGACGACAGCGGCGACGGCTGCGGCGGCGACGGCGACGGCGGCGGCAGCGGGGTCGGCGACTGCGACAGTGGGGGCGGAGGCACCGGGGAAGGGGGATGCGGCAAGGACGGACCGGGGGTACCACCAGAGTCAGCAGACTCCTCAACGGGGACAACCGACGGGAGGGGAGTGACGTGGGAGACACCAGACGGGGCAGGACGAGGCGGGAGAGCGGCAGGGGCTACCGGGGGAGAGGGAGCAAGGAAAAGGGGGGGGGGCAACTGGGAGAGCTCGGTGAGGGAAGCGGCGGTAGAAGGAGACGGACTCGTCAAAGGTGACGTCACGAGAGTGGAGGAAGCGGTGAGACGGCGGGTGGTAGAAAAGCCAGTCAGACGAGTCCAGGGGGAAACCGAGGAAGACACAGGGGACAATGCGGGCAGTGAGCTTGTCCGTGCCAGAGGCACGAACGTGAGCAAGGCAGCCCCAGACGTGGAACGCAGACGCGTCACCGGGGGACCCGGTCCAAAGGAGGGTCGGCGAAACCTGCGGCCGCTGGGAGCGTGGCCACAGGTTAAGCTGGTGAGCCACGTAGCGAACAGCGAACGGCCACAGAAAATGGGGGGCATCGGCATGGATCATGGATGTACGGACGACCTCCATGACCAAGCCGATGCGGCGCTCAGCAACCCCATTCTGCTGTGGCGAGTCCGGCAACGTGTACGACTGGGTGATGCCCTCCGCACGACAGAACTGTCCAAGCCGACCAGAGGCGAACTCGCCGCCACGGTCGGAGTGGAGACACAACACGGGGAGACCGCGGTGGAGACGCGCAGCCACAACCCACGGGAGAAGAACGTCGGGCACGTCGGCCTTCCGCTCCAGGGGAAACACCGTGGTGTAGCGCGTGTAGTCGTCGACGAGCACAAGGAAGTAGCGCTCACCGCGCGGTCCGGGGACGGGGGCAGGGCCCCAAACGTCCAAGTGCAGGGTCTGAAGGGGGGCAGTAGCAGGACGCAGCGAGGAGGAGTGAGGAGCACGGCGGAGCCGACCCTCAATGCAAGGCGTGCACGGTGGCGCAGTCGAGGGAGGAAGGGCAGGGAGCGACGCGGGGAGACCTAAGACAAGACCGTGCTGGGACATGTGACGCAGACGCGGGAGAGCAGGGTGACCTAAGCGGTGGTGCCAGAGAAGGGAGGGGTGAGTGAGGGACCGACACGAGCAAGCTGCAGCGACCTGGGAGGACGCACCAACCGGGGGGGAAGCGGTGTGTAGGGTAAACAGACCGGACACCGGGTCCCGGGGGAACGTCGCAAGGGGGGAACCTGAGACAGCCTCAGAACAGACAGCGAACCGCTCGTGCCCGGGGAACGTGGTGGTGACGCCGAGGTCCTGGAGACAGCCGACACCAACCAGGTTCCTGGAGAACGAGGGAACGTGGAGGCCAGTAAGGGAGCCCGAGGGAACTGCCAAACAGGGAAGGGACGTAGAACTGCGCGCGACGACCGGACCCGCAGAGGGGTCAGCGAGAGAGACAACAGCAGGTGCAGCAAGCGGCGTGAGCGTGGAACGGTCGCGGAAGAAGCAGGCAGAAGCACCAGAGTCGAGAGTGAAGGACAGCGACGCAGTGGCGGAGGCCGGGGACGGAGCCGGTGCAGCGACTAGACTAGGCAACCTAGGCAGTCCTACGCCTGTCGCAGCAGGGGAAGCTAAGCTACACAAGGGTGAAACACCTAAACTAGAGTACACAGGGTAGTAAGATCCAGCAACACTAGAAGCGTCAGCATACAAAGCATGCAAAGCAGCACCTATCTGATCCATGTCTAACTCAAAGATCGGCACGCCCTGGCGGAGCAGGCTGTGCCAGTCAGGGAGGTCCGGGGCCGGGCCAAAGCGACGACGAAAAAGATCGTCGAGGCGGCGGAAACAGCAGGCGGTCGGGTGCGGGCGGCGGCACAGAGTGCCGCGGAGAGGCCCAGTCTGAAGCTGGTACTGGCAGGTCACAGCACTGGAGCCGCTGGTAGACGCCAAGCTGCGCGGGCCGCCACCACGGCCACCGCCTCCGGAGGTGCCGGGCCAACCAGGCGGGAGACGAGCCCACGGCTGCGGCGGGTGCTGCTGGGACGGCGGCTGCGGCTGGGGCTGGTCCTGCTGCTGCTGGGGCTGCTGCTCCTG